TTCCGACACAGAGGGTAGAAACAGCTAAATTAGACAGTTAAAACACATTTATAGTTCATAACTCAGCCTTGTTGTTGTTAGCACTCTGTCTCACAACATTAGCTGCTGCGCTCTCCCCGGGGGAAGGGGCAGACACATGCGCTCGCGTGACCCAAAGAACGGATCGGCCGAACGGACAGTGTATCAGCCGATACCGATACAAGAAAAAACGCAAATATCGGCCAAAAATATTGGCCGACCGATGTATCGGTCGACCCCTAGTATGTACTTCTTAAAAAAACAGTCCTAGGACCAAAAAAAATGCACCCAGGGGCATATTTACTGTAAGAAAATGTATTTTTAATGTATATTAACGACTAGTTTTATACTTCCGTAATTTTGTGACGTCACAAGCTGTATGACAACCCACCAGAACCTGCGTTCAGCCCCTCACCTAGCAACCCCCGGGTGAAGCCCCACCTCCTCAGTATAAAAAGCCGTCACGGTTGTTGTTGTGCAATGTTTAGCTCATTTCACAACAAGTCTCCAATAGGGCAATAGGTAGAGTGTTGGACCAGAGAGTGGGAGACCAGGGTTTGAGACCGGCATGGACACATACAATTTAATTATTTATTTTCATTTGTTATGAATATGTTTTCTCATGTACCTCTATTGTTTAGCTTATTAAAGCCTTGTTAAAGCCTATTTGTTCAAGTTTCTGAGGTATTTTGACCGCTGCTGCTCCCTGCTCTGGTAACAGCATGCAGAGTGAGCGCAGAACAGAGGAGGGGGAGGGAAAAAAAAGAAGCTGCGACTGACTCTGCCTCTGGGTCTCATATGGTTGTACAACAGAGCTTCTGCTATTATTAGCCATGCTAACGTAAACCCTGGCTTTGGAGGGTGGAGTTAATGTCAACAGATTTCTGGAGGGCGTTACCAACGGAGCTCATTAACATAAACAGCTCTTCTGAACAGAAGTCAGAGCAGGCAGAACTAGAAAATGGGAAATTTTATTATCTGAGAATTATTTTGTGCATTAAACTGAATGAACATGGTCTGGATAGCCCACAGACATACCATAAACATTTCTAGGACCCGTAATTGGTCTCCTTTAAGTAAACAGGCTAGCATGAGCTAGMCTGYTTTACTTTTTGTATTAGCAATATTGATCACATATTTGCGTACTAATTGATTTATATTGTGAGTCTAAAAGATTATTCTGTTAAGTTTGGTCACATTTTAAAAGAGCCACTGCAGAGGGACCAAAGAGCCACATGTGGCCCCAGAGCCGCAGGTTGCAGACCCCTGCGGTAGAGTCTACAATGCAGGGAGAAAAGTCAGAGACCCGTCACCCGATGTTATTTATCCACAAATCTGACCTGGTTAAAGCTCCAAAGTTTTTATCAGTCAGATTCCACAGTGCAAAATGTCTGTTTTATCACCATCCATGAGTTTTTGGCCATTTGACTGTCTTTATAAAAGTCTACTTCGTGGTTCAACACTCAGCTCTGGAAGTGAGTTTCTTTTTTTTATTTAATTTTTATTTATTTTTATAAAGTGAGTGACTGAAGCAAAACGCAGCGTCTGAGTGCTTTCAGCGTGAACAAACACTCCTACGAACTGCGAACATCTGACCAGTCACATAATAAAGTTCTTATGTTCTCATGTAGAGGGAGGTAAAAAGTTAGAGCCGCGGGTTGCGACAAKAAGCTGCCGACATGTCGACAATGCGAACAGAATGATGCGATTTTTGTCATGAAACTGCAACAATCCAAACCCATTTTGGCAGTTCGGAGGGAGTATGCAGGAACCTTAAATCCGTGCGACCTGAGCTGTGTGGTCACATTTCTCTTTTTGCTTTGGTCACTTTCCACTGGCAGACACYGTTTCTGTTGATCTAAATTTCTGCTTTGTTTTTGTCTGTCAGGTTTGATATCCTACACAGAGTATCTGTTCTTGCTGACCATCCTAACCAGTAAGTTCAAGTCGCAGTGCTTACATGGATTGCCCTTTGAGTTTTATAATAGTAGAGTTTGTGATGTTGTCCTGACTGTGGCTGCAAGTGTTTGTTTTTTAACTTATATGCAGTCAGTGTATCAAGAAGAGCTTTGCCTAATTATAATTGCAACAATAAGCAGGTTTGCAGAATACGCTGCACTTTTCTAAATGTGTTTGTTCTGCAGAACCACGTACAGGGTTTCATATAGCCTTCAAAATGCTTGATGTGGACGGCAACGAGCAAGTGGACAAAAAAGAGTTTCTTAAGGTAAGAATGGTCATGAGGAAAAGATAATAAAATATAACGCAGTGGGAAAAGTAAAGTCCACCTTTTGAATTCTAGCTTTTTACTTATTAGGCATAATAAAAATGATCTGGGGCCTCATATATACAAGAGTGCGCAGATTTCATACTAAAAGGTGCAGGCAAACACACAGAAGTGTTTCCCCCAAATGTTTCACCACCAGAGGGCGCACCACAAAGGCTGAAAGATCTGTAGTCTAAAATGAGACATGGCTCATAACATGATTAGATTTTTTTATGCCTTTTAAGCTCAAATGATAATCGCATTATACTCCAGATTGTATCATAGATTTGTTGTGTTTTTCATTCCCTTAAATTTARATAATTTTAGAACCTGATATAAACCAGGTCTATTTTTTTATTGTGCCCTGATATTTAAAATCTTAAAGTTAAAAGACGGTGGACTTTTATTTTCTTATGACTATAGGTGAAATCATTAAATGAGTAAGTTCTTATTTATATTTGTTCAAATGTTTGTGACACATGTCAAAATATCACCTTTTAATGCTGCCTGGCTGCTGCTGCACCAGTTGTGAGTATGAACCCAGGCTCCATGTGAAGGTGAGGGAGAGCTGTTATTCAGCTACTCAGCTTTGTTTTTCATCTCTTGTGTGTTTGCCTGAGTCAGCCAATCAGTTTTGTTGGTTTGTCTAAAGTCATCTGGCATTTTTGTGTCTGTTTGAAGCAGACCTTCTCATTGAGGACAGGGGAGAACTCCTGTGTGAACTCAGTACTCTGCTACTTTTGGTCCATGTAAGCATGKTTTGCACCTTGTGTCATTTTTTTCATGTTGCACTTGGTAGTGGGAAGCCCAAAGACCCCTTWTGATGAATAATGGATTCAGTGTTCCATTGCACGGACGCGGGTCACCAGGGCCCCACTCTGGAGCCAGGTCTGGAGGTGGGGCACGTTGGCGAGTTGGCAGGAGTGGGCATACTTATATACCCCATCTTGGTGCCTGTACATTGGGGTTCACCCTGGTGAACGATAGGGTTGGGCAATATTGGCAAAAAGATTAATCATGATTAATTGTGGTATTTAGCCAATAACGATTAATTTGATGATTAATCCCCTGGAGTCCCTGGACACCTGTCCTAGTCACATGACCAATTTAGTGGGAAAGATTTGTTCATTGTAAAAATCTTTTCCAAATTGTGTAAAAATTACAGACTTCAGACTATACATCAAATTCTAAATTGTGTTGATTAGATAAATAAATTACAGAAATTTTTTTAATGTCCATCATATTTGAAGCGGAGAGGAGCACCAAGCACACCGACTGGAGAAATCTCCAGTCAGTCCCTCTGGTGGCATTARTCATATTAATCGTCAAGTGCCAAAAAATAATTGATTAATGTTTTTCTGACTATTAATTGCACACAATACGATTATGCCCAACCCTAGTGAACGAGAGGGTAGCCTCCCTCCGCCTACAGGTGGGGGGACGGGTCCTGACTGTTGTTTGTTCCTATGTACCTAACAGCAGTTCAGATTACCCACCCTTTCTGAGTCCTTGGAGGGGGTGCTGGAGAGCGCTCCTAACGGAGACTCCCTCGTTCTGCTGGGGGACTTCAATGCTCCTGTGGGCGATGACAGTGAGACCTGAAGGGGTGTGGTTCGGAGGAACCCCCCAACTAGCCCCCYCTGTCTGGCAGACGTCCAATGAGTCCGCCTCCTCACCCTATCTCTAAGRGAGAGTCCAGACACTCTGAGGAGTAGGGTTGGGCATAGAGTCTCGAGTCTCGTTTGGAACTGGAAGTAATGTTTCAATTCTCCTGGAATCGTTCGTACTTTGAAATTTCGATACCTAGTTTCAATATCCAGTTCGCCAACTGGAAGAAGAAGCCGCCCAACARCAACAAAGAAAAAACCCAGGTGAGCAGCCKAACTAGGGTTGGGCAATATTGGCAAAAAAATTAATCACGATTAATTGTGCTATTTAGCCGATAACGATTAATTTGAAGATTAACCCCCTGGAGTCCCTGGA